AGAAACCAAAAAAAAAAAAAAAAAAAAGAAAAGATTACTTCAACAGATGATTGATTTTTCGTGACAATTACATTTTCATGCACGTGGTGATTTGCAAAACTGCCAGCTAGCAACTATAGTAATATGTGTAATTGTATACTACATTGCACTAATTAACCTTGGTGGTTGAAACTAGTGGAAATGTAGTATCACGTTCTTTTTTTCCCTGCAATACAAGTTGAAACGCTATAAAATTGGTACTGTGCGTCTCTAATTATTTACAGGCCTGGACTGGTAACTCTATCAAAAACTATAAGCTCAAAGTATATTGTCAAGTCATCATTTGATAAAAGAAATGAAGTGTCACCAGGTGTCGAGATCCACGAAGAGATAGACAAACAGTCTGAGAAACAAAAGCGGACAAGTATCAGCTCGTGTGTGCGCGCGTGCGCACACAGAAAAATGTTCTGTGGGTTGTGTACATGTGGTTGAGTCATAAACGTGATTTAGGGGATTGTGTAGAAGCATAAGTCGGTAAGTAGAAATGAAACAAAAGGGCCTGTAAGTAACGTTAGTAAAAATTATAGATTGAATTATTGGAAGAAGAATGCAAAGGCAAAGAAAATTATTATCGCTACCGTTGGACTACGAAATAAAAATAAGAAGAGAGAAGAAACATAAAAAAAAAGCAATACAAAGGGAATAGAGAGAAAGAAGCATGTGAAAAGCTGTAGAGTAGATGCTGCAGCAATAAACAGATGGCACACAGAGAGCGAGTAATAAACGTTCGATAAACAGTGAAACGGAATAAGTAAAGAAAAAGAGAAAGCGAGAGAGAAAAATATAGTAAAAGAGAAAGAGAAAGAGAAAGAGAGAGAAATTCTGTATGTATGTATGTGTATCTGTATAAAAGTGTGCGCATATGTATATTATATGTATATAACGTGTGTGTGAGTATGTGAACATAGAATAAAAGCAGTATAGTAGACAGATACAGACAGATACAGACAGACAGACAGACAGATAGACAATAAGACAGATAGAAATAAGATAAAGATTTGGCGAAAGTGAGAAAGATAGAGCAGAGAGGAGCGCTTACAGCTTGGTCTGTCGAACTCTTGCTGTAGGGTACTGGTATCAAACGTTCCTGCAACTCGCCACCTATTACCTTCAAGAGCAAAGGATAATATCATGGTTATAACTAGATGCAACGAGCGGTTTTAACGCGCTTATTAGCAGTACAGACACTTTCTCGAAATGTCAGTAAAATCGTAAAGAGAAGAGAGAGATAAAGAGAGAGATAGAGAGAAAAAAAAAGAAAAAGAAAAGAGATGTAACTCTTTGTTAACGTTCCTAAACCTTTGGTCCAGTTTCGAATAGCTCTCTGCCTGTAGGCACCTTTTAACTGACTGAGGTTATCTCTCTTTGAAATTTCCCTGAAAGTGAAAAAAAAAAAAAAGAAAAAGAATTGAGCTTGAAAGGCCGATAACCAAGACGATCGTCTCCGACCCACACTTGAAAATTTCGTTCAGACTTGTTTGTGAAACTGATTGAAAGGGACAACCGTCTCAGTCATGTTTTTTTTTTCTTCTTCTTTGGGAAGTGCTTTCGCTGACAAAGTATTTACCGATACGGGAAGCAAAGACTCAGAGATAGCGAAGCTAAAAAGTGCCTGATCATCGAGTGATTTACTGAGAAAGAAGATCGTAACGATCACGCTTAAAAAATAGTTTCTTGCTGTTTTTTCTTTTCTTCGTATAATTATATATATATATATAGATATCGTTCACGAGACGTGAATATATCGAGGAATGTGTGAGAATCCCGTGTGAAATGTATGGGGCGGGGGGAGAAAAAGAAACTCAAAAAAAGATAACAGAGATTGACAAGCGAAAAAACCGAGGATAGAGCTCTCATGCAACGTAAGGCATAAACGTATTTCCCGAATGGACAAAGTTCCTCGTACGATGTACGCTTTCGTTCGTCACCTCGAGGGCCGAGGTGATCGTCGAGGCGAGAAATCTCTAGGAATGTGCGCGTGTACGTATTCCCCTTGTCCCATTGTCTTGTAACGTTAACTTCGAAAAGTTCATCCTGATTGAACCGATTGATCCGTCCAACGAGAGAAAGAGAGAGAGTGAGAGAGAGAGGGAGAGAAAGAGAGAGAGAGAGAGAGATGAATTTCATCCACTTTTCTGCGAAAAATTCGAACGTTTCAAACGCGATGGCTCACAAAATAAGGACAGGCACAGGAGGAGAGTTACGTACGTGTAACAATGATCTTTTCTTTTTCTTTTTTTCATTACACGACGTAATGGCAGAGCATTTCATGGACAGTGCCAAGAAATGGTAAAAGAACACTGATTAGATTAAGCTTGAACACAGGCATCGACAAAATATCCTCCCCCCAGACGATAAAACAGATAAAGCGAATAGAACAGATCAGAAACGAGAAAAAATTCAAAAATTCGCTGGAAAATGTGTTTGCAGACTTTTTTGGGATTTATATCCCGAATATACTGCCGTAGCCAGTTGTATTGTTGGTAGAACACCGCGTAAATATATATATATATATGTATAAAACATGGTAATAGTCTAACAAAGTGACCTAACAGAATATACATAGTTGATGCAACTATGGTAGTGTATCAGCTAGTAGCACGGTCAATGCGTGGTCCGACGTGGACTCGCTACAAAATACACAATTTCACTTGGAGAAACGTCGAGTTCAATAACTCCTCTTTGCAGCTTTTCAATGTTTGTTTAAAGAGCAGAGGATTTCAGATTTCAACGCTGGCCTCGAGGATCTTTTATTTCAAAAGCTACGCGAGCACTAAGTTTATAAATATCGCACAGTCCATTTGAGAAGGTAAAATATCTTGTTACGTGTCCAGTGCTTTGCTTTGTTTCTTAATAATGCGAATGAAAATGAAATGTGATGTCGAGACAAAATCAACTCGTTCTGTTAATTGTGCACAAGTCACAAAACGCGTTGGTCTTGTGCTGGTACTGTGCAGTAGACTTGTGCAATATTGCATGAACTTCAAGAGCGCACAACTTTCAAAATAACAATCCAACGAGCCAAAGAACTATCATATCTTTCTTTTTTTTTTTTCACAGGCATTCAACGCTTTAAAGCTATCTCGAAGAGCAACCAACGAATATCGGTGAACCCTGCAACAGAACTGATCACAGGTATCCCAACAATAATTTTCGTTCAATGATTGTTCCATCAGGATTTCACTGATTAATTCTCTTTTTTTTTTTCCTTCTTTTCCCCAAGGTGCGTGTGTTTGGTTTCAAGGTGCGGAAGTTCTATTGTGCGGATCAAGTTCAATTAATTAAGAAATAGAACCAGGGACTCTGGGAATCCCTGCGAAGGTAAATCGATTTGCGAGCGAGAGTGGCGACTTACGCGACTACGACACGAAAGGTGAGAGAAAATGTTTAGGTGAGCGTGAAGAAAGAAGAAAAGAAAAGGAAAGAAAATGAAAGAATGAGGTGAAAGCATGATGTTGCCTTCGTTCACAGCCGGAAACAGTGCCCTTGAGTATCTTTCTAGAAATGCATTTCTCTCAACACTTTTTGCCCGACACTGACGACGCACTATTTTATTTTCTTCTTTTTTAACAACTAGAAAAATATATATTTCATCAGTGTTGAAAAAGGCAGAAATATGTATATTGATTGATATATATATATTTTTTTTATTGATATATATTGATTATCTACTAAGCTCGTGACTCGTTTCTTTTCCTTTGTTCTTTGACAAAAATCTTATTCTTTTTTTTTTGTAGGTGGACAACGTGTGAGACACGTCAGATTAGTCTTGCACTTTTCATTTCCTCGACCTTCGAAGGAACATCGCGTGTTTTTTGTGCAGCGGAGTCTAACGTAAGCCAAGCGTATAGAAAAACCACAGAAATGCTTTTCTTTGTTTTTTTCTTCTCACAGTGTGCACAGACAGCGGACAATCTTAAGTGATCTTTCCTTGGTAAAACACAGATTATTCAGATTATTCTTTTCTTCAAATTTCTCCTACTTAAGAAAATTAGGCGTTGCCTAAAAGGTTGATCTCAGAATGCAGACTTTTGTTTCTCTTTTCAGTCCGTAGCAGCCAAAAGATCATGAACGTGGTGATCATTGTGTTGCAAACGTAAGGTTATAACACACCAAGTGAAAAGTGAAAGAAAAGAAAGGAAAATGTGAAAGTGAAAAGAATTCTCCTTCGCAGTCGACAAACGTTTTCATTCAACTCTCTTCTTGACACCGATCAGACAAATACTGTCCTAATACTGTTTCCTAGTACTTGGAACATCTATACAGATGTTTGGCTATAAAGGTGAATAAAAAGAAAAAAATATAGGATTATTATTTCAGCGTTGCTTCGAGTTTACTGTTTCAAGTCAACTGTTTATAGTTGAGGATACAAATAATACATGAAAACAATTGAAACAATAATTCAAAGGGGAGACAGTTTCTCAGAGCAAGAATGCACGTGCGGATCAGCGACAAGCTGCTTTTAAGAATTTTAAGTATTTACCTTTATTCACCAAGTCATTTGTGCAGATTTGTTAGTTTCTTTTTTTAAGGACACGAACCGAGAAACGGACCTCGCAGACGCGCTTTCGTCCTCGCCGTTCAGTAGAGGGGCCAATGAACCACAAATCAATCCTCCGCGATAGATCAGTTGGATCAAGTTCACAGTTATTTACAATTACACGATACTCTCTTGTAACAATAACTATTGTTCCAGCATGTCTCTCTTAATCTAGTCGATCACTCGATCACTGTCATAAAACAGCTTCACTGAACGTTCTCTCGGAACGAAAATCCCAAGAAATCTTGTCGAAATCGTGCAGCATTTCGCTACATGCTCGCCATATATAATATATTGGATAATCGAGCCGCAAAGAAAGCTACGAGATTAAGTTAAATAAAAGAACCTACACGACACTGAGTATTTATACACGCTGTCAAAATTGTGAAACTTCGCAGAGCACGTATGTACAAGTATTCTTTCATCGCTTGAGCACAAGAGTAGATCTGTTTCACATGGAAAAATATCCATTATGTACGTTTGCACAAAGAAGAATGTGAGAACGCGGAGGTTTAATACATCACAGTTAAACAAACAACCGCGACGCACATTTGCTTTTTTCGTCATGTAGAAGAAAGAAGAAGAGGGACGTACAACGATATAATGAATAAAAAAGAAACCACACCTAAGAACGTTCATGCACCCTCTGCTGATCGGTTTTCAATCAAATATAACATTCGAGTAACGTGTCTTAAACTTTATTTTATATAATAACAATAATAATAATAATAATAGTCGCTAATAATAATTAAAAATTAATTATATATGTATTATATACCTATGTGATATATATAATATATTTATATATATAAATATATACATGATATATAATATATTTACATATAAATGTATGCATAATATATTATATATTGTTATATATGTATTACAAATATATTATATATATATATATAGTATATTTATATATATAAATACATACATAATATATAATATATATGTATGTATTATACTCTCTACGTGTATCGTTATAATCATTTTCATCGTTCCAATGTAACAATTAATTTTAAAATGCGTCAATGTCAAAAACTGAATCGGCCTCTCCTTTTGTTAAACACAGAATCTGCAACTAGACAGACAACCCCTTAACAACTGTAATGATTTACAAGCACATCATCTATTTCCATTCCCCATCTCGAAACTTCGTCTCACTTGAATATTCATAAATATTTATTTGACAGTGAATTTCAATGTGAATCGAAACAGGTGATCCCACCAAAAACAGGAGGGCCATTGGGACACACAGTTTAAACGAGGGGAATGGGGGCGAGAGTTGGGAACGAGACAACTTCAACTCCACGATCACTCGGAACACTTGGAAGTGTGAACATCATCTTTGCGAGAAGAACTCGAACGAAACACAGTTATCTCTCTCTGTGTTTTTGTTCAATTGACGAGACAAAACGACTCGCAATGAGAAAACCATACAGAGAACAGCAAACAATATGGGCAGAGTTTATGGTACACACAGGCGGCAGTTGGAATAAAAAGATAAGTCGAAGACAGCATAAATTGAAATTCATTCGATTCGAGTTTCTTTCTAAATTCTAAAAAAAAATCTTCCTTCCAGCGTTCGAGGGAGGAGACGAGGGGCTCGACAGACAACGTGCTGCCCATCTCGTTCACACTCTTCACGAGCAAGTATAGGAATGGTCAGAAGCAGTAGCACATTTCCAAGAACCACTTGAAATCACTCGCAAATCGGTTTATTGCCGACTCTTCTTCTTTTCTGTTCGACTGGTTGCAACTCTTTGAGGAGAGAAGACTGACCGCTTTCTTTCTCGCCCCTCGTTTTCACCGGCTCTCCCTCACGAACCGTGAAATAATATCATTGCCTTTCTTTGCAGAGAGATCGACTTTCGTTTCTTTCTTTTGCAACAACCCTGGCAGTGGATGTCGATCTCTTAAGTCAAAGTGCTTCGCACGTACTGACGCACACCCGGTTTTCAAGGGGGTCAATAATAAAAAAAATGAATTAAATTAGCGCTAGACTCTTTCTGTTAATCAGAATCAAAGCGATTAAAGAATATGTATATATATATATAAATTCGTCACGTTTCTCCGTTCGTTATCCGGGCACAAACGAAGATATCAACACCTGTCGATGACGAACGCTCCTTCCTGTCGATGACCTCCAGTAATTTCCTCGACGAAACCTCGAAACTTCCAGACACTTTCTTTTTCTCTACAGACCACTAGTTTCCAATTTTAGGATTCTTCTTCCAACTCATTTAGGACTCTTCACTTCCTTGCAGCTTAATCCTCTCTTCTCTTCCTCTTGAACGCGAGAAACCAAGGTGAATTAAAATTCGACACACACAAAATGAAACACGGTCTCGAGCATCTTCTCGGAATTTGCAACTTTTGAACATTTTCAGACACTGTTGGGCAATCGGGACGAGTCGATGTTTCGTTCGAGCTTCTTCGAGTGGAAGAAGAGAAACCAGAGGGCAGCGACGAGGCGTCCGATCTCGCGGTTAAGTACTTTCTCGTGCCGTCTTGTCCCTTTCCTTTTCGCGAGATTCTTTTCGTTTTTATCTAACATCTCACCCACGTGTTTTCTTTCTTTTTTTTTTGGATCACTCACACTGGAAACCCATCCAGGTTCTAGAGAAACTGAGCTACAGAACGATTCCTTTATTAGCTCAGACACTGAGCATCGCGTGTACGCTGTACAGAGTGTCTATGGAGTCTTAACTCGTCTCTGAGACTCTCCAAACTCCTCAACATTGATGGACTTTATGGCTGTTACAATAACACCATTGTTGTTGCTTCACGACAGAACATACTTGTCAGTTTTCAAAATTCAACTCGAGGGATCCCTTCCTCAAAAGGACACTCTTCAATTGTCTCCCCCTCCGTGTACACAGTGTGGTCTTTGTATGTTATTATTGATTTTGTAATTTCACTCGTTCTCCAATTTATATTGAGCCTGGCGGATAATCTGGCAAGTTTAGACAATGTCCTCTTATCAAGCGAACGAGACGACCAATTGGCCAATTACCCAGAGACTTTATAAACACCCTGTACCGATACTCCTAACGACAAGTGATCTACTGGACAATGATAGTTTGCTAGAGCTTCCTGATCAATCACCTCAAAATATATGGAAACAGCCGCAGCTCTGCATTCTCTCAGTGCAAAAGCATTGACGAACAGTAACATGTATACAGGCATCCAGAGGGAAGAGTAAGTACTGAGACACTGTCTGTCGTTGCGACAACAGACTCCCTTAGAAGATTGCAAAACAGCCTCTCTCTACGAGAAAAACTGAACAGACGTTTGCTACTTCTAACAATGGTTGGAAACGACGGACGAAGAAAAAAAAAAGAAGGGAAAACCGCGCCGACACACTGCAGTTAGTTTCACCATCGGTCGAGTTTCACAAAGAAACAGAGACAAGCAGGCGAGCAAAAGGATCATGTGAGTGAATGAATGGGTAGCGTGAAGAGACATACTAGGTGAAGCAAGCAAGCGCTTTAAGCCAGACCGACGTGCGCGCAGACAAGTAGGCAGTCGCAGCCTGATGCTTCAATGGATTTCATTCGTTATACTGGGCGTTGTCTGTGGCACATTGAAACTTAAAGTGAGCTTCGAATGAGACGCGCTATACGTTCACAAAAAAAAATGAAGAAGAAAACAAATATATATATATATGTATGTATGTCAGAGAACTTAAAATGTCAGAACGAAGGTGGACAGAAGAAAAGGTGAGGGTTAAAGGGGAAAAAAAAAAAAAAAAGAAAAAAAGAATGCACTGACAGCTCCTCTATCTTACACGCTCGTATATAAACGTCTGTATATATTTGTACAATAAATATGATCCAACGAAAGGTTAACTGAGAAGAAGAGTTAGTTTCGACTGGATGGAAGAATCTCAAACCATCTTTATTGTGTGTCTGAGAGCTTCTTGTTTATAGCTTTTGAAATGGAATGACAATTCTGTTTGAACATACGTGTACACGTCTGTGTGTGTATATATATATATATATATTGTCTTATTTTTTTTGTTGCTCGGTTTCCCAAATGGGAACACGAGGAAGGCTGAATGAAGTCTGAAGAAGCTCGGACGGAACACACAGGCTGAATAGAGGGGAGAGAAGGAGGCCCATTTGTATTCGAAACGAGCTTTAAGTACTTTAAGCAGCTCTCTCTCCCAAAGAGGCAAATCTCTTTGACATAAGGGAGGAAGAAGAAAGAAGAACGGAGGTGTGTCTTGTCCCTGGGATAAAAACGTTCTTCCTTGAAGAAACAACAAGAAGAAAGCTATCGTGGAGAATCCAATGGTCTCTCGGATAAAAAAGGACGATCGTTTGTCAGAATAAAGTTGGAATGAAGATACGAGAAGAGCTAGATCTCACAAAGATTTGAGAGAATGAAGTTGAAACACTCTGGCCAGTGAAATGCAGAAGAAGAACAAAAGGTAAGAAGAACCTACCCATCTCGTTGTCAGTGAAACAATCGTGTTGCAAAGAGATAATACAGATATTCCTTGGGCATCATAGATGCAAAAAAGAAAGAAGAGAGATGGGACGATTCTTTGAAATCTGTTGCAGTACAAAAGAAAAACGTGTGTGTATATGAGAAGAGACGTGTCGGCGAAAATTGGACCCACTGGACAAAGCTGTCAGCAACTAATTGAAAAAATTACGACACGTGGAAACCTGGAGCGCAGGTTATTACCATCGACTGAGTATCATCAGTGGTCGTCGTTGCAAGACGAGCAACGAAGAGATTCACCTTCGGGGCAGACTCTGGGTCTAGGGCCCCAGGAGGAGTAATAAAACCTTGACAGAGAACGCTAACACGAAATGAGAAAAGTGGCAGAGATAAAGACGGAGACACAAAGAGAGAAAGAGAGAGAGAGAGAGAGAAAAAAGAGCACGTACAAAGAAGAGATGATCGATGACCACGTCACAGATTGACGATAGATAGGGTAGGCAAAAAGAAAAAAAAATAAAAGATGAGAGAGGATGAGACTAATAGTAACGATAATCATACTACTACTAATAATAATAATAATTAATAATAATAATAATAATTAATAATAATAATAATTAATAATAATAATACTAATAATAATAATAATAATAATAACGATGGCGACGACGATGACGATGAGAGAAAAAAAGGGGCAGAGAATTTAGGGGGGAGGCAAGAGGGGGAGAGTGTGTGTACAGTGGTGACACGCAAAGCTGCCTTTTTGTTTCTTTCGTTTTTTTCTCTTTTTTTCTTTCTTTTTTTTTTTTTTTTTTTTTTTTTTTAAA